TTTTTCTGCATGACTATCTAAATAATAAAAATGCTAAACAAAATCACCATAATAGTGATAATTATAACTTAGAACTATATCTGAGGATAAAATATCAATATATGAACAATAATAAATCTTAATATATGATTAACAATAACTCAAATCTGTAAATAAATTTAAAAATTATTTATAAAAACTAAATAAAAAAGGGAAAGAGTGACCATGAGAAGTTGTAACAGGACTTATTATTACATTAGAAAAGTGCAGGTTTTCAAACTAGGTATGATGCTTTTTTATTTGTTGTTTAATACAAATGTGCCATATGGTCTATAGTTGATGTCGTGTCATGGACCTATGGCCGAAGGTCATTATCTATCCAAAAATTGGACGGCAACTGTCAAGCCCAAGTGTGAATAGACTAAACTGCAATTCTTCAACTCAGTTCCATAATATATTTTATAAATAAAATTGTGACTCCTAAATTTTATGGAACACCTGTTGTATGCAAAGACATGAATTTAGTAATATTGTACATCTATTTACACTAATAATAATTTTTAATTTTTATATACAAAATATTAATTTAATAAGTGGTTAGTATAATTTTTAAAATAATAATTTAAATAATTTTTAACTGTCTAATAATTATTAGATTAATTTAATTTTATAAATAGGAGTATTCAATGAGATCATTTTATAAATTGAAATATTTAATATGTAAAATTTTAAGATAAAATGTTCAATCGATCAAAGTAAAATTGAAAATTCGATGAATTTCTAAGTAAAATACAGGGATAAATTTATACATTGGGCCTAAACTTTATACCATTCAAAATAATTACAATGTGACGTTGAAGTTTTTCTCTTTTTATCGTGCTCAACGTTCAGTAGTGCTACAAATTCTTTTACACCCATACGATTTTAAATACGCCATTATATATTACTCAGTCGTTCTAGAAAAATAGTTATACTTCTTTTTGACATAGATTGAGAATAGATAGTTAAATTAGTTCAACCATAATATTTATTCTTCTTTTTCCATATATATTCTTATATGAAGAATCTTTTTCAATAAAAAATTAAGGTTTAATATATTGTTTCACCATCGACTTTAGATTTTGTTTAATTTCACTCTGATTTGATCTTTATGTTAATTTCAGCTTGAACTTTAATCTTTTATTGTAATTTCACTCCAATTTGATCTTTATACCAATTTTTACCATGAACTTTGGTATTTTATTGCAATAGCATTATAAATTATAATTAGGACTTAAATTGTAAATAAACAATAAGTTGACTTTTGACTTTGGACTTAGATTAACTAAATATATTTGTGTCAATGAAGGAGTATGGGTTAATAATATGAATAATCTCTATTATTATTTTGAATATTTTTAGATTGTTTTTTTACTTTATAATAAATAATATTTAACAATTAATTTTTTGATATATGAATGTATTTTTTTTAAAAAAATAGAATATAATTATATCTTATATTCTATATTGATAAAAAAATGTTACAATTTCTAATAATTTAGAAGTCAAATACATTGATAGAAGCTTTGATTTAGATTTTATAATTATTTTAAAATTTATATTAAAATCAAACCATAATAATATTTATATTCGATTTTTTTTTTAAAAAAGGGTTTGTATTAAAAAAATTAATTTTTAAATGTTATTTATTATCAATTAAAAAACAATTTAAAAATATTTAAAATAATAATAGAGATTGTTTGTGCTATTAATCCAAATTCTTTCGCTCGTACAAATGTATGAAGTTAAACTAAGTCCAAGATCAAGTGTGGACCTATTTTTTATTTACAATTTAAATTCTAATTATAATTTAGGGTGTTATAGCAACAAAATGTCAAAGTTCATAGTGAAATTGGTATAAAGGTCAAATTATAGTGAAATCGTAACAAAATGTCAAAGTTCAGAGTGAAATTGATATAAAGGTCAAATCGGAGTAAAATTGCAATAAAATTTAAAATTGAGAGTGAAACAATAGATGAAGCCAAAAATTAATATCTCAGCACAAGTTTCAATTACTTTATACTTCCCATATTTCAAAATATAAATCGTTTTGAGTATTTTAAAGAGTAATAAATGATGTGTTTTGAATATTACCCTTATTTATATTAAATTTAATAACTACTATTGGTTTTAAGATAAAAGATAATTTGTTCAAATTACCCTTAATTTTGTTATAATTTAGGAGAATTAATTACTTTCTTAATCCGTGGAAAAACCTTAAACGACTTATATTTTGATCGGAAAAAGTATTATTTTATATTTATATTTGACTAAATATTTAGTGATTCTATGTATATTATTATCAGCACAAATTATATTATAAGGTATTATAGGAAAGTTAACAAAAAGATCATTTCCAAAATGGAAATGAGATTATTATTTTTTGAAAAACCTGTCATGAAAAGTGAAATTATTATTATTTTTTGTTTTTTGGGACGGAGGGAGTTGATTATAAATTCAAAAGAGACTCAAGACCAATTGCAGACAATATTATAAACCCATAAAACTTGGGACAGGTATTCAAATCTGAGACGCAAATCGTGATGCAAAGTTTACATAATACATAAATACAGATGCAAATACGAAACCAAGAAAATATCAGTAAAAAAAAAATTAATAAAACAAATAAGCAGCTTGGATGGTCTGGATGTGGAGGGTGATGACCTGTTTGCTTGAGTATGATTCCGAAGTTCACATGTAATATGAGCACCGGAACTTGACATGACTTTTTTAGGGTTTAAAGAATGTTATGCATATCTAAGCTTTAATAAAATTTTTAGAAAGGAACTAGTTGTGGCAAGAATGAAAAAGTTTTGTAATTAAGTGTTTAAATAATAAAAATTTTATCAATTAAATATTTTATGCACACATCTCTCGTTGAAAATCTTAGAGCATCTCCAATGCAACCATGGATTGTTTTAATTTATTTGTCACGTTTGAAAAATTGAAAGTTAAAAAATAAAAAACTTCTCCACTCCTATTGTCAGTTTAACCTGTGAGTCTAATGTGTCAAAAAACAAAAGCGATACTGTCCATTACGCTCTCTGTTTTCAGTGGGTTTGTTAAACAACATGATTCAGTTTTTTATTCTGTTTTTCCTATTCATTCATTTTTTCTTGCACTAAAAATGATTTCTTCTTCATGCATTGAAGAGTTATTTTTAAAATCTAACATTTACAAATATGCATTAAGCCAAATTACCATCCATAATCTCTATTTATTAAGACACATCAATTGCAATCCATAATTGCGTTAGAGATGCTCTTACAAGGATAGTATGAGAATTATTCTTTCATTGCTGATGTGCTAAGATGACTTTGAGTATGTGGAGTTAGAATATTTTCATGTGAAAATCACATGCCTTCTGAAGAAAAAGACTTTTATGCCCCATTCGAGAGAAAATGAGAGTTTAAGTTTCAGTTACTTAACCAAAACCAAAAGATGAGATCTAATGTTTTTAAAAAATCAGACCATACATCAAATTAGCTTGGTTTCTAACTCGCGGTTAGATCCAATCTTCTTTTTTACTGTTTCTAAAACATCATTGTAATCTGATTGACGTGCAGTAAAAAAATAAAAAAATTTAACAAAGTACTCTATCATAACCCGAGTTATATCATCCTCCTAAAAAATTTTCCCTGTATCATAATTCATTTTGAAAATAGAATTTCTTTTTCTCCTGAAATTAGCCTCGGAATAAAAAAAAAAAAAATGAAGTGTTTTTATCCCCTTCTTTAAGCCATGACATTCTAGAGCGTTGGGCCCACGTACTTTTCTCCCTAGCTAGTTGAATTTCTGCTTCCTTCTGCTTCTCGATATATACAATCAGCTGCCTGTCAAATTTTCTGTCGAATAACCATTTCACTTCGCAAAGATATTAATTGAGAACTAACATTTCCGAAATGCCTGCTATCCCAAACTCTAAGATCCGAACTACATTTGAAAATTTTATCATTCAAAGATTCAACACTGCTGCTCTCACCAGAAAAGTTCCATGAATTCTCAACTACTTGATTACCCAGTAAGGGCAATTTTGTCTTTAGGTTTTTACCCTAAACCTGTTTGACATGTCAAATCTTATCTGTCATACCATAAATTGTCCTGCTCAATAAATTTTTTAAAATTAAGTGGATTCACAAGTGCTATTCTTGTTTTTGACCAGCCATGTAGGAAGGAGACACCTGATTGAAAAAAATTTATCGGTTTAAAAACTTTATTGCAAACGTTTTCCGTTGAAACACTGAAATAAAAATTTTTGAAGAGATCAAAGACTAAATTTATAACTAAGCCTTTTATTTTTAGTAATATGTTTAGCTTTTTTTTTTTTTCCATTATTATTGAGGTTTGAAACCCTTTAAATACATTATTAAATATACAGGGCTTACAAAAATTACGTTATAACTTTATTTAAATGAAGCATTCAAAAATAAATAAATAAATAAATAAGAAGAAGATATTTATCTAAATAAAAGACCTAATGGTTAATGGGCCTCCAAGAGACCCACTAATTGAGATCCCTATCATCTATTGTACCAAATATTCATTTATAAAATTAATTAATCGGAGTCAAGTCAAATTCACAATAATTTTAATTTTAGAGTTCATTTGCAAATTTAACAAACTTTTATAGTATTTAATTTACTTTATAAAATCTTTAAAATTAACAAGATATAATTCCAAATGAATTTTGGTTTATATAAAATTTTAAATTTTTTAAAAATTTTAAATTAAAACATATTAATTTATAAATAAATACCATAAAAATCCATAACACTGAATAAATTTGAAAATAAAAGAGCAAGAAAATAATAATACAAGTCAACTTCTTTTTTTTTTTTCTTAAATACAACAGTCAAATGTATCCTTAACCAAACTCTACATGGTGGCATGTCACTCCATGTTTACAGGAAAGTGCCTCTCACGTAGTTCTCCACCTAATAAAAAAATACAACAGTCAAATGTATCCTTAACCAAACTCTAACATGTGGCATGTCACTCCCATGTTTAACAGGAAAGTGCTCTCACGTAAGTTCTCCACCTAATAAAAAAAAAAAAAAAAAAAATATATATATATATAATACTATATATAATATATATATATATATATATATATATAATATAATATGTCATTTACATGATCCTCAAATATATGTCATTACATGATCCTTCAATTCATAGCTAACCCATATATTATATAAATCAAAACTTGAAGAAACTCTATCATAACTCCAATTTTTTGTATCTTAATTAATTTCTGAAATCATGAATTCTCTCATCTTCTACTTTCTCTTTCTCCTCTTGTCTTTTCATTTGATTTCAGCCTCAAATTATTATTACAACCCCGCAAAATCAGAACAGAAAGAAGAATACCAGGACGATGAAAGTAATAACAGTAACAATGAAAATGAAGGAGAAGGACCATTCCTCACCATTCCTACATTGCTTGATCTATCTTCAGATGATGATTTGTTATCTTTTGTTTACTATCATAAAAGCTGTCCACAAGCTGAAGCCATTATCAATAGGAAAGTTAAAGAATGGGTGAAGAAGGACTATACTTTTGCTGCCAGTCTCCTTCGCTTGCACTTCCATGATTGTGCTGTTAGGGTAAGAACTAAGAAGTGATGATTGATTGTTCAGACATTATATATACCATTATTTAACTCTTTTGATTGTTCTTAATTAATTATATATAGGGTTGTGATGCCTCCATTTTGTTAAACCATGAAGGAAGTGAAAGGACAGCAAATGCAAGCAAAAGCCTTAGAGGGTTTGAAATAATTGATGATATAAAAGCAGAGATTGAGAAGAAATGCCCAAAAACTGTGTCTTGTGCAGACATTCTAGCAGCAGCCAGTAGAGATGCTACTGTTCTTCTTGGAGGTCCATACTGGATGGTGAATTATGGAAGGAAAGATGGCAAAGTTTCTCTTGCTAAGGAAGCTGATCTAACTGTGCCGATGGGTCGGGAGAGCATTACTAGTTTGATTGAGTTCTACCAATCTCAGGGCCTTAACGTGCTTGATTTGGTTGTTCTTTCAGGTAATTTCACAACCAAATGCACATTTTTATTTATAGATATATATACATGGGCTGGTTTTGTTTAAAAAAAAAAAAGTTTTGAGAACTCAATCAAAATGAGCGGAGCCGAGCTTGAATCTGTCTTGCTCGATATTTGACGAGTCTGAAAATTTTAAGCTTGAATTTGACTTAAAGCTCAAGTTCAATTCAAACAATTTTAAACTCGAGCTTGGCTCGAGGCTCCGTGCTCGCATAAATCTAAAATAAATAAATAAATATATATATATATATATAAGTTTGATAAGAATCGACGAACTTTCGAATTGAACATCATTAGACTCAAACTTAACTCATTTGTTAACGAATCGGCTCGAGTTCGTTCAGAGCTGAACTTTTTAGAACCTTTCATGAGTCAAGCTCGAATAACTCGCGACCCAATTTGGGTCATTTACACCCGTACTTGTAGTAAGTTAACTTTTTATATTTGTACCTCCTAACTTTTAAAAAATTATTTTACCCCTTTAATTAGTCTTCAATCCTTGCTCCCTCATTGTATAAGATAGCTTTCAATTGATTAAGTTGATTACAAATTTAATTAGACATGAGAATTTTCTCTCTGTTAATTAGGTGCGCATACAATTGGGAGGACTACATGTGGTTCAATACAACATAGGCTCTACAACTTTGAAGGAAGTGGCAAGGCAGACCCATCTCTTGACGAAAAGTATTTGAACTTCTTGGTAAGAAAATGCAGATGGGCATCAGAATATGTGGATCTTGATGCTACAACTCCAACCACTTTTGATCTTGAGCACTTCAAGAACCTCCAAAGAAATATGGGACTTATCTCCTCAGACCAATTGCTATTCTCTGATCCAAGAACTGCTCCTCTTGTTAATACATTAGCTTCTGCTCCCTCAGTTTTCCATTACCAGTTTGGTGTTTCCATGGCTAAGCTTGGCAATATTCTTGTCCCTTCTGTTCAAGATGATGGTGAAGTTAGAACTGTTTGCTCCTCTGTTAACTCTAATAGTTACTAGCCTTTTGTTTTCTTTTTTTTCATGGTGTAATGAGGTTTCTTGCTTCTATATCTCTTTTGTCCAGTGTTTTGGTGACTTTCTATTCTGGTTTATTCACATAAATAGAAATTTTGCTTCACAATTAATTATATGTTGACATACATGAGATCCTTTTTTTGGGTACTCTTGTTTGAACAAAATACTATATGGCCTCTCATTTCTTCACTTCAATTTTTTTAGTATTGAATTTTTTGAATGATTAATGTATTCTCGTGTATATTAAGCATAGTACTTGGCTAAAATCTTGTACCCGAGATCTAACTTTCTCCTTCTAGTACTTTGAATTTCAACTTTAGTAACAACATCGTCCTAATTTCAAATCGTAGCTAATATTAAAATAAAAAAATATTTTATTCATTATATTGAGTATAACTTAAAATATTATTTTTAAATTGACACAATATTGAATAAAAAATAATATATTCATTTAAAAATAAAATACTTCCTATTTATTTATATAATATTCACAACAAATAATGATTTCCTAAAAGTAAAATTATACTGTAATGAATAAAATCTACTTTTATAAGAAATCTAACTTAAGTATAATTTCAATAAACTCTAATTAAAATTTCATGCTTAAAAAGTGGCAAAACAAAAACTTAAACCAATATTCTATGCTTACAACTAACTAAAATTTATTATTTTACTTGGCTTTTTATGAATTTAAAAAAAAATTCTAACCAATATAAATTAGGATATTGTTAAATGGTGAGTTTTTAATTAAACTGACTATGTAGGTCTGATGAAAGTAATATTTTATTTATTAAATTGAGTACAATTTAAAATTAGGGTGCTATTAAAATTAAAATTAAAGTTTAAAGGTACTAGGAGAAGAAAATTGGATTTAGGATATAATTAAAAATACCCACAAACTTTGAGATTTTTTAATAATTTACCATAGTAGTTGCATGTATTACCTAGCAATAAATTTAGGTTGGAATTCTCTTCCTCCAACCCAAAATATAAGTCATTTAAATTTTTTGCACAAAAATCAAAGAAATAATTAATTTTCATAAATTATAACAAAATCAAAGGTTATTTGACCAAATTACTCTTTATCTCAAAATCAAGAATAACTTGTGAAAATAGTTATTGTATTTAATATAAATAAGACTAATATTATTTATTACTCTCTGAAATACTTAAAACGACTTATATTTTAAAACAAAACAGCTACTATAAAATGATTTATATTTTGAAACAGAGAGAGTATATATATAGACTAGACTGCACAGACATGAATACTGGACATGAGATACGACATGACACGAATACAGGATATGATAATTTAAAAAAAAAAGACATTGACACACTTAGAACATGCTGCAGTAAAAAGTATAATTTATCAATAATTCAAATAAATAAACAATCATTAATCATAAACATAAAATAAATAAATAAATTCTTATTTCAATATAATTAGTTAAATTCTCAAAATTAACATCAGCGTCAAAAAATATAGTATTTCTAACTTAATTAGAGATAACTTGACAATTTTAAAATTTCCTACATTTTTAAAAGAAATCAAATTAATCTCCGATGATATTCCACATTTTAATTTTCAAATGTGTCTCTAAAGTATCTACAGAAATATCCTTAAAGTGTGCCAAACTAATAAAATAAAACCAATAATATGACAGTTTTTAAAATGTCTGACACATACGTGTCTAGGTTGTCCAAGAGGTGTCGATGTCCAACACGGATACGACATAGATACGTTGAATTTTTTAAGGTATCCGTATATTTTAGTATATAGATGTCCCCTAAAATTTTGAAAATTTATTTTTATTATTGAGTAGTGCTAATTGTCTCGATTATTGTATTAGCTTTGACCTTTGTGGCTAATCTTAATATGTAATGCAATAATTTTACAATTTTATTTCCAGATGAATACTAATAAGCTAAAAACATAGTACAAAATTTCACTGCATTTAGTATATGGGTATACACCAAGCTGATTCATGAAAGATATTTTAAAAAATTACTAATTATTCTAATATTTTAGTGAATGATAACGAATTTTTTTATTATAATTAAAAATTTATTTTTAATTGGTTTGGTGTACGAGTCACTGTGCATAATTGTAGTCATATCACTATATTGCATTTCAAAAATAAGTGTTGCCACTCAAATTTGAAGTGTATGGTTGTGCTTTTGGCATAAAATCAAAATCCATAGACTCTTTAAGAACCAATTATCTCTTCCGTGGACCCAACTTGGTCCTCCTTCGAGGAGACTGTAGGTTGCTTCTCCCAGCGCGAGACTAAAACACGTTATTTTATGCATTACTTTCTTTCTTTCTTTCTTTGTATATTTTCAGCACCGCCACAACAATAGTACATTGTTAAATAAAGCCATCAACACCTATCTCTATCACCTCCTCAAAGCAAAGCAATCCCACCTCCACCTCCACCTCCCTTTGCTTTCCCCTTTCCTTTCTTTTTCTATCTTTTCTCTCTCTCTCTCATTTGAATTCTCTTTTATTCTTATAATAAACCCTACAAGGTATCTTCTCTACTAAGACCACCACCTTCCTTTCCTATCTCTAACTCCTCAAGAACAAAAATATCTATTATATATTTACATGTTAAATAAAATTAATTAAGGGTTTTTCTTTTATGCTTCATTTATATATAAAAATTCCATTTTGCATGGCTAGTGATGTAATGTCTTTCACCATCTTCTTCTTTCTCCTTATCACTACTATTATTCCCATCACCTCTATGGCCAGTGACAGAGAGCATAATTTCCAGGATTTGACAAAAAACGACAATCAGTTTTCCCCAAGAAGACTCGGTCCGGCCAATGCAAGGGTTTCAAAAGGTAATACTCATAATAGTAGACAGAAAGAAGGGTTTATTAGCAGATCTCCATTGCCCTGGCAAGAAAGGATCTTTAACTCAAGCTTTCATGAAGTTCCAAGTGGTCCAAATCCCATTTCAAATAGGTGAAAGAAAGATAGAATCCGAAGACAGAACGTCATTTCATCTTCTTCTTCCTGTTTTTGGTTTGTGTCGTTTTGCCCTTTTTTCTTTTCTTTTCTTTTCTTTACATATATATATACAGGTAATTAGCAATTTAGGATTGTGAGATCACTACAGTTGATTCATATTATTATTGTTTTCCAAACAGAACCTATCTACCAATCATTTAACCATGAGAATGAGATCACATGTATATGATAATGATATGATTATGATATGTTTTGGGAATTTCTTTTTAATGATGTACAATAGTCATGATTATATATATATATGCCACATTTCTTCTTTATCTTCTCCTCTTAATTATGGCTGCAATTAATTAATTATACTTAATCATTATATGTAATGTTCTTTCTTTTTAATTTTTTTCCTCTATGTACTAAATTTAGTCAAACTATATGTATACATTTGCATCCAACCTTCTTGTTTTTTTATTATTATCAGATCAAAATCAATGAAAATGATAATATATAATTACTATGTCAAGCAAACTATAAATAGACTTTTATTTTTGTAAAAAAAATTATTTGAAATATTTTCTTTTTTATTATTAATTAAATAGGGAACACACGTCACACATACTTCTTCACAAAACTATGACAATTTTGTAAATATGTAATAAATATAAAACATTTAATATACATAATCAATATACACTTTACACAATTATATAGGATTTGGAAGGACTAGCTCACTCCCGAATAAAAATAAAATATTTAAAATGTATGATGAGCTTTATTTCTTTTGTCTTTTTATTTTTATTTTTATTTTTTATTTTTTTGGATTTTCTATCTTTTCAAAAAATAGGAGAATGAAGTGAAATGTGCTGAGGATATAAATAAATCTTTTAGAAAAAGAAAAATAATTTCCTTTTTGAATTAACTTAAAAATTAAAAAATAGAAGGATTTATGAGCTCAGCAAAGAGATAAAAATTGTGATTTGCGAGACAAATTGTACTGTAGATGTACATTAAAAAAAAGACATAATGATTAAAAAAAATGTATTTGGGTTTTGGGCTTTTTGTTCATTTTGAGACTGCATAAGCAATTATGAAAATAAAAAGAAGGCCCAAAATACCATAGTTTTGCGTGTAAAGTGATACGGACTGGCATCCAAAGCTGCAATGAAGAGTCTCTTTACCTGTCTCTGAATTTACTGAACTACCCCTACTATACTTCTGGTTATTACATTTGTTGCCACTCTTTCAATTTCTTTTAAAAGCTGAAATGAATCGATCAAGACCATGAAAAGGCTCATCTCTGTCTGTATATAAAATATATGCCTTATTTGGTGTTTTTACCTTGTCGTTGGTTTCTTCACCTTATTTGTTTTTTACTGCAACTGCCATTAGTTTTGTTTCTTCTGTTGGCTGCTGCTTTATCTTTGAGCCTACGGTTCTTTTTGAAACTGCAAATTTTAATATTGACATTTTTTTATTATTTTTGGATAAATAAAAGTTTAATTAAAACCCATTTTGCCAAAACAAGAAATTCAAGAATATATAAGAGAAATCATATAAATGATATGGGAAATAGTTATTTATGTGATATTTTTAATTTGTTGTAATATTAAAAATAATAAATAAATATTAGGAAAAATAGTTTGAATTTTCCTTCCGTAAGTCCATTGACGTACCATAAAGGGACTACTCTCCCAAAGTTACAATTTTCATACTCAAGACAGCTTGAACTCAAGACCTTTGATTAAGAGAAAAAAAATTTCAACCATTCCACCCCAACTAACATTAGTGTATAGAGCCAATTTCTTTTTAAGGTAAATTGAAATTCAAAATTTTAAATTAAAACATTTAAATTCACTTGTGCAATGTTATTCTCAATTCAGAGTATTTTTGAATTAATAAGATTGTCTATCAATATAATTTTTAAATAATTTTAATTTAGAAACGATCTTTAATTTAAATAGTTTCTAAATTTATTTAGCAATGGATTTAGCTCATTTAGAAACTTAAAATCCGTTTCTATTTTTTGTTTTTCTTGTAATTTAAATAGTTTCTAAATAGATTTATCTT